ACCACGGCCAGTTTGAGGAGTCAGGTGAGGCTGGGGAGATCTCCATGCGACCCTTCCTTTGGGAGCAGCCTGGGTTGGGCAGTGGGGCTCCAGGGTGGGCATCTCACCGTGAAGACTCGAGAGCCTGTTTGGAGAGAGGTCGGCTCCAGCCCTACTTTTGCGACTCGCCCTTCTGGCTCCGCTGATGCCGTCTCTCTCCGCCGCAGAGGAGTTCCAGGCCCTGGTGAAGAGGCTCCCTGGAGACCGTTTCCTGAACAGGACGGCCATCTCTCATTTCTGGGCCATGGACCTGGACATTCAGCATCGCTACCAGCAGCTGGGCACCAGCCTGAAGCTGCTCTCCAGGAAAACCCACCGACTCATCCGGCGCCTCTTCAACCTCAGCAAACGCTGCCACCGGCAACCTCGCTTCCAACTGCCAAAGGAGAGGTAGGGTGTCATGGTGTCCCACGCCAGGGACACCACTCAGAGCCCCGAGAAGGGGTCAGGCCCACGGCCCACTTCCCCATGGCTGGGACTGGAGGAGCTCCCGCCTTGCTGGAGGGATGCCCGGGATGAGGAAGCAGAGAGCCTGGGTTCCAAGCCTGGAGGTGGAAAATGGGGCTCAGTTCCTGGGGGGGGCCACCAGCAGCACAGAAAAACAAACACAAGGTGGGCAGCTCTTTCATCCCTAGGGAAGGTTGGTGGCATCCCTGAAGATGCCACGTAAGCATCTCTTCTCCTGCATCTCTTCTCCACCAGGTCCCTCCCTTACTGGTGGAGCCGTGCACACTGGGTTCCAAGCCTGGAGGTGGAAAATGGGGCTCAGTTCCTGGGGGGGGCCACCAGCAGCACAGAAAAACAAACACAAGGTGGGCAGCTCTTTCATCCCTAGGGAAGGTTGGTGGCATCCCTGAAGATGCCACGTAAGCATCTCTTCTCCTGCATCTCTTCTCCACCAGGTCCCTCCCTTACTGGTGGAGCCGTGCACAGTCGCTCCTGTACTGCAGTGAGACCACCGTGCCTGGCACCTTCCTGGAAGAAAGCCACAGCTGCACGTGTCCCTCCGACCAGCCCTCCTGCCAGGGGTCCATACCGTGTGCCTTGGGTGAGGGGCCAGCCTGCGCCAGCTGTGCCGAGGACAACAGCACCCGCTGCGGGACCTGCAACCATGGCTACGTGCTCACCCAGGGCTTCTGCCGCCCTGAGGTGGCTGACTCGCTGGAGCACTACCTGGGCTTGGAGACGGACCTGCAGGACTTGGAGCTCAAGTACCTCCTGCAGAAGCGGGACAGCCGCATCGAGGTGCACTCCATCTTCATCAGCAACGACATGCGCCTGGGGAGCTGGTTCGACCCCTCCTGGAGGAAGCGCATGCTCTTGACCTTGAAGAGCAACAAGTACAAGCCCGGGCTGGTTCACGTGATGCTGGCCCTCTCCCTGCAGATCTGCCTCACCAAAAATAGCACGCTGGAGCCCGTCATGGCCATCTATGTCAACCCCTTCGGTGGAAGCCACTCGGAGAGCTGGTTCATGCCTGTCAACGAGGGCAGCTTCCCAGACTGGGAAAGGACTAGCGTTGATGCCTCTGCCCAGTGCCAAAACTGGACGCTCACCTTGGGCAACAAGTGGAAGACCTTCTTTGAAACGGTCCACGTCTACTTGCGGAGCCGCATCAAGTCCTTGGACGACAGCTCCAATGAGACAATCTACTATGAACCCTTGGAGATGGCAGATCCCTCCAAGAACCTGGGATACATGAAAATCAACAGCTTGCAAGTCTTCGGCTACAGCCTGCCCTTTGAACCAGACGCTATTCGTGACCTGATCCTTCAGCTGGACTACCCCTACACCCAGGGCTCCCAGGACTCGGCCATGCTCCAGCTTTTGGAAATCAGAGACCGGGTAAACAGGTTGTCACCCCCTGGCAAAACCCACCTGGACCTCTTCACTTGCTTGCTCCGCCACAGGCTCAAGTTGGCCAACAACGAGGTGGCGAGGATCCAGTCCTCCTTGAGGGCCTTCAACGCCAAGCTGCCCAATGCAGTAGAGCAGGAGACGGGCAAGCTGTGCAGCTAACAGCTGGGGCTGTCCAGATCTCAGAGCAAGGGGGTCAGGAGAAAGGACTCCCCAGGGGCAGGGAAGGGGGAAACAACCACCCGAAAAAAACTAAATCAAGGCCTTACCTTAGTGCCAACCGTGTGCTTCCATGGTGCACCCAGCAACTGGCCAAAGAGACGCAGGGCTCGAGCGGACGGAGGACGCGAGCGGGACTACGGAGGAGGGATGGCTCGCACAGCGCACACCGGTTCTGGGCACGGGGACGATGCCAGCGCAGCTTTTGCTCGAGCACTGGTGGCTGGGGAGGACATGCCAATGGCCGAGAAGGGACGTGGCTCGGCCAGAGGCAGTTGCTGGCCCCGCTGGAGCAGATGCTCAACCCACTGTCAGGTTCCTCCAGCGGCAGTCTCCTCAACGCCCCAACTTTTGTAGTCTTTTTAAGAGAGGTTTCTACTGGCGCCTTCGCTTTCGCATCCCCCCACGACCCTTCCCGTGGCCGTGCCTGTGGTGTTGGGGGGAACCGGGAGAGACCACGCTGTAGGCCCCCAAGATGCAGCAGGTCTCTCCTGGGGCTTCTCCACAAGCATCTCACACCCGCTGCGGTACTAAGGCTTCGTCGCCCCTCAGTGGGCGAGGACCTGGCACCTGCCCCGTGGATGCCGCCGTCACGGACATCGGTGGAGACCTCTGGGCTGCGATTCCTTACAAAGAAACAAACAAAAAGAAACCTAAAACAAATGAAAGAAAAAGAAAAAAAAATGTTTTATTTATGTATTTATTTATTTGGTTTGTTTGGGAGGGGTTTTTTTAAGCCTATTTATTTGAGGAGGGTCATTTCTTGTCGGTGGCTCCAGCCAAGAGGCATCTTAGTAAAATGTATCTGTTTAATATGTTTTTTAAAATATGCCTTTTTTTGAGCAAAAGAGCAACCAAAAACAACCAAGAGGAAAAAAGAAAAAAAAAAAAGAGAACAGTTACTGACATCTCTGGCCCTGGCTCTTCCCTTGCTGTGGGGCGAGGAGGTTCCCACGCATGCCCAGCCAATGTGTTCCCCTCCGTCTCTCCACACCGTCCTGCTC